ACCGCTGCCTGCCTATCTATCTATCTATCTATCTATCTATCAATCTACCTATCTATCTATCTATCTATCTATCTATCTATCTATCTATCTATCAATCAATCACTATTCTGACCTAGGCTTCCCAAAATCACGAAACAGACTCCTTGTCCCGACAAAACCCCTTTTTATTTGGCTAATGTGAATTTCTATCATTGACATCCAGCAAAGTTCCGGCAGCCACAGACCTTATCAGGCTTGGACAGTTGTCAGGCCGATAGCTTCCAAGCACAACGCTGTACAAGAAAATACTTGGCAGGAAGTCTCTGGGAGTCATGAACTTAGATAAGCAGATCTTCACACTAAGTAAACAAACTAATTGCCTCCTGCAAACGCCACTTCCCTTTCGCTCCTATTTATTCCCTATGGGAGGAGCCATTCACCGTCCACCTAAGCCTTTAGTCCCGAGTTGACCCTTGTTCCTTAACTGCTCCCTTCTCCTGGCAGTTCTGCACATGTGCACATTGGGAACAGGCTCCAGCTGTTCTTCTGCTCCACTGATCTCCAACTCCGTAGGCAGCTGATACCTATCGGATGGCCCTGGCCCCATCTCTGCCTCCGACACAGAGCCCTCGTCACAACCAGACTCCAGGACTGGCCTATGTTCCTCTGCAACCTCCCACTGTCTGAGTCTGCCGCCAGCTCTGCTGGCTGCTGGCGGGCCACAACACCATCTGTCTGTCTGTTCGTCCATTCATCCATCCATCCATCCATCCATCCATCCATCCATCCATCTACCTACCTACCCACCCACACACCCATCCATCCATCCATCCATCTATCTCAAACTCATATTCCATTCACCTCGACGACTTACGGATTGAGTAAAATGCAGTATAAAGGATTCTTTTAATCTTTTCAAGAATAGATATTGCTCTTAATCGCTCTTCATGCCTGAACTAGCCATGCTGGGTGCCGTCTCTGAGATAAGCCGTACCTAAATTTGATAAGAAGCAAACAAGTAAACAACCCTTATTATCATTGGTTGCACAGTCAGCCAAATATTTAGACCAGATTTGGCATTTTTATGCCCCTGTTGTTATTATTTCTGGGAAAAAGAGCTGCTGACTTAACCTCTCTCCTTTTCAGATTGTCTACGTGATTCTTTGGATCAACCTTTATTCCGTCCTGCAAATTTTTTCAGTTGGACAGTCTTGGAAAGTCAGTGTTTTGGTCACCCTTGTTGCCTTGGTGGCTGCTGTGGCCATCCTAGTCATAATTCATCACGATCAAAGCAAGGTAAGATGGGACTAGATGGTATCCAGTTGCCATTTCCACTTTTTTGGTGGTTTTTTTAATGACCCCATAATCCCTTGCATCGGGATGCAGTTGGGGCAACCGAACGGAGCTGCAGGAATTGGGCATGGTTAGTCTAGTGAAGAGAAGGAGCAGGGGAGACACGATAGCAGTCTTCCAAAATCTGAGGGGCTGCCACAGAGAGGAAGGGATGCGGTGGCTCAGTGGCTAAGATGCTGACTTTGTCAAAGTTTGGCAGTTCGAATCCCCAGCGCCACATCACAGAGTGAGCTCCCGTTCCTTGTCCCAGCTTCTGCCAACCTAGCAGTTCGAAAGCATGTAAAAAATTCAAGTAGAAAAATAGGGATCTCTTTGGTGGGTAGGGAACAGCGTTTTGTGAGCCTTCTGTGTTTAGTCATACCAGTCACATGACCACGGATACGTCTTTGGACAGCGCTGGCTCTTCGGCTTTGTAACGGAGATGAGTACTACCTGCTAGAGTCAGAAACGAAGACCACGTAGGTGCGAGGGAAACCTTTTCCCTTACCTTTATTGGCACACCTGAGGAGAACGTGAATTTGGCACACCTGAGGAGAACGTGATTTCTGGGTTTTCCCTAGCCCAGAAAGAACCCCAAATCCAACCCCTGCACCCAACAGCTCATCACATGATCCAATCCTCACTTCATTCCAACTGGAGACTATCCCCAGTCACTTCCCTCCAGGTGCCGGGTAACATGTCCTTGACTCTCGGAGAAAGGAATGTTGTTGTGGCTAATTTTCCACTGCTCCTTGAAGTCCCCCCTCCCAAATCCCCAGGCACTGAATGTGGCAGCCCAGAAGCCTCAAAGACATATAGCTTCCAAGCTGGCATCTGGGATTACCTGTGTAGGATTTCCAAAGTCACAATTCAGAAACAAACAGGTTGTTTTGAAGTAGAAACTGAATGGCTATCTGGTCAGCGGGTTGCAGTCACGTTCATTCCACAAGATGGATGTCCTTCAAGTGCCTTCCATCTCTTAATTTAATTTAATTTATTTGATTTTTCAATCGCTTACAAGATAATAGGTATAAGGATAAACATAGTTATGAATACATGAAATGAATACATATATATAAAAAAAAGAAACAATAGGACAGGGACGGTAGGCACATTGGTGCGCTTATGTACACCCCTTACAGACCTCTTAGGAAAGGGATGAGGTCAATAGTAGACAGTCTAAGGTTAAAGTTTTTGTGGTTTGGGGAAGAAACCCCAGAGTCAGGTAGAGTATTCCAGACATTGACCACTCTGTTGCTGAAGTCATATTTTCTGCAATCAAGTTTGGTGCGATTAACCTTGAGTTTGTATTAACCTTGAGTTTGTATCTCAAGGTTAATCGCACCAAACTTGATTGTGTGCTCTTGTATTGTTATGGTTGAAGCTGAAGTATTCATTGACAGGTAGGACATTGCAATGTATGATTTTATATACTATACTTAGATCGGGCTGAAGGCGGCGTAGTTCTAGGTTTTCTAGGTCTAGAATTTCAAGTCTGGTGGCATAAGGTATTCTGCAACGAGTAGAGGAGTGGAGAACTCTTCTTATGAAATATTTCTGGACTTTCTCAACTGTGTTAATATCAGATACTCTTAAGCCACTGCTCAATTCTTTTCGCCTTCTTCCTTTTCCTTCTCTTTACCAGATGAATGTGAATACAGATATGAGGCTAATGGCTGCCAATGAAGCCTTCATGAAGCTTGGATTCCTGGTAGGGATGACAAATATTCCAGACAAGAACTGTGCTGTCCCACAGGTATGCGTTTTCTGAACGGGGAATTTCCTAACAGAATAGTAGATTAGACCAATGGCTGTCCAATATAATTAACTTCCAGTGATGGAGCAACCATAACTTCTGAAGGCAAGTCATTCCACCGATTAATTGAACTGGGATTATAGAATAACAGAGTTGGAAGACACCTTAGAGGTCTTCTAGTCCAACCCCCTGCTCAAGCAGGAGACCCTATAACCATTTTAGACAAATGCTTGTACAATCTCTTCTTAAAAACCTCCAGTGTTGGAGCATCCACAACCTCTGGAGGCAAGTTATTTCTCTCCATCTATCCCATGAACCGTTATAATTTTGCGACAAGGATCCCGGCTTCTAAAGATAAGATATCAAGCTTTGGAAGGTTGTATGCAGATGTGAGTGTAGCATCACATCTGTGAAATGCAGGTAATTGCAGGAAGGTTCTAACCACTGAAGAGACCAGCTGATTTTCCCAGGTGCTTTCTTGTTTATTGTCAGCGTTCCAACGAATCTCCCCATATCCATTCAGCACTCAGAAACAAATTTCATCCAAGTAAGAATTTATTAGAGAAGCCATATTGGCACATCTGGGAAAACCCGAATCTGAAACTTCCGTTGTTTTCCTTCCCTAAGGAGAAAAACAAAGATCTATCTCCTGCACCCATCATCCATCACATGGACCAATCAATCATCGTCCCAACTGGAGCCATTCCTCCCAACACTCCCTCCAGGTGCAGGGTAACATGTCCTTGACTCTCTGAGAAAGAATGTTGTTGAGTCTAATCGTCCACCGCTTTGTGAAATCCCCCCTCCCAAATTCCCAGGCACTAAATGTGGCAGCCTTGGAGTAAAATATGGCGGCCAAGGCTGACATTTATCTCCCTCTCTTCTCCTCTCCTTTAGTTGTGGTTTGTTCATTTCGACGTTGAACCCTGCCTTCAGTCTTTGATGGACTTTCTGGCCACTCTGAAGAGAAACCAGGAGGTAAGTTGTTTGGCTACTCCTTCCCTTTAAGCCCAGAGGTGGTATTCAGCTGGTTCTGACCAGTTCTGGAGAACCGGTAGTGGAAACTTTGAGTAGTTTAGAGAACTGGCAGATCCCACCTCTGACTGGCCCCACCCCCATCTCTTCTCTGCCTCCCATTGAGTCCCAGCTGATCAGCTGGGTCTTCTTTGGTTGCCCTGTACAGGAGAACGGAGCTGGAAAGCAGGTTAGTGGGGTGGGGAGGGAATGGGGATTTTGCTGTAACCTTCCCCCAGGAGTGGAGAGGGAATGGAGATTTTGAAGTATCCTTCCCCTGCCATGCCCACCAAGCCACGCCCACCAAGCCACACCACGCCCACCAAGCCACACCCACAGAACCGGTAGTAAAATTTTTTGAATCCCATCACTGTTCAAGCCTCTTAGGTGCGGGGTTGAAAAAAGAGGACACTTGAAATGTATTCCTGCCCAGTTAGTGAGTTCTAATCCAGGGGTCGTCAACCTTTTGGATCTCAGGGACCACCAAACTCATAATTTTCAATCCTGCGGACCAGAGACCCTGGGAAAATCCCCAAAAGTCTGCATTTTTGTACTGATCGATCATTTTTTATTTGGGATCGCAGGATACCGTCTCCAGCTCCATTCTCAGGGAGAGAGAGAGAGAGAGAAAGAGAGAGAGAGACTTTTGGCTTTATGCAAGGAAAGCAGCAGAAGCAGCAGAAATCTTTCTTTCTCTCCCCCAAACTCCACCAGAAATGAGTCTTTGTGAGACTTGTCACACGCCTCTTGGAGCAGGATGCTTTGCAGGGTCCCAAAGACTCATTTCTGGCAGAGTTTGGGGTAGAGAAAGAAAAAAGTTTTGCTGCTTTCTTACGTGTAGCCAAAAGCAGAAGAAGAAAGGAGTGGAAAGAAGCAGCCCGGTGGCCAGGCCAGTCGCGTGGGGCGAGTGGGGCAAGTCCCCCCCCCGCCCTTTCCTCCCTCCCCTCACTACCATGTGTTCTCCGCAATGCAAGCGGCACTTGTGTTCCCGCGAGCCATGTGGGCAGCACAGCCTTGTGTTCCCACACAGCCTGGATTAGTTGCTTTGGGGAGGACATTTCTCTGGGGACCACCAAAATTTTCTCATGGCCCACCAGTTGGCGACCCCTGTTCTAGTCCATTCCTAGTCAGGTGGGTGATCTTGGGCCAGTCCCGTCTTCTCCATCAAAACAAAGAAAGTCCTAGTAAAAAACACTTTCTGACAAATTCGCCGAGAAAATGGCAGGGATTAATCCAGGCAGTTGCCAGAAGTCGAGACTGGCTCAAAGTTACACAAAACCAAAGGAAACAAAATCCGAAAGGATTCCCCCCCCCCCCCCCAGATTTGATCCATTGCTTTGCCTCTCACATTGCTTTCTCTAAAATAAATCCCTGTCATCTGTTGTTGCCAGTCAGCACTGAAGCGCAATCTGGAAGACGTCGGCATTGTTGTCGAGACAGCTATCCTGCCAACCTGGGAAAGCCAACAGAACGATTCTTTGGAAGAATGTTCGCTGTTGCCAGAGACCAAGAAGAAGAGCAGCAATAATTTCTTGTCCCGCCGAGAATTCCTCCGTCTTGTCCCAGACACGACACCGGAGGTAAGGATTCCTTCCCATTTCTTTGTCTTCCTTACCTCTTTTGCTTGGGAGGCCAGCAAAATGATTGGAATTGGAGTCAGAACAGAGCTTTCCCCATGCCGTTGTAACTTTGGATGGTGGCTAGAGGAAGTGCTGTAAATCAAGGACTACCCGTATGGATTGCTACGGCATGCCTGGAAGAAATATTTTCTTCTGTTTTCATGAGACAACAACTTGCAGAACTCAGGCTGTGCTTCACTGATACCTTGAGATTCATCATGGAAAGAGAAACTGCCAGGAAAGCATGTGACATATTGCCCAAGAGTTTTGCAATAGCAATGGTTTTGAAAAACCACTGAGCTGCAAAGGATATTAGCACCACTCAGCTGGAATTCCCTGTAAGTCAACAAGAGTTCTGAATATGTTCGTTTGTTTTATATTATTTCAAACCCGCCCTGAGGCCTAAGGAGCGTGACGGACGCACAACGCCAAGCCTTTTAACAGATTGAACAGATTCACAGAGTTGGAAGGGACCTTGTAGGCCTTCTAGTCCAACCCGCCACCCGAGCAGGAGATCCTACACCATTTCTGACATGTGGCAGTCCAGTCTCTTCTTGAAAGCCTCCAGTGATGAAGCTCCCACAACTTCTGAAGGCAACTTCTGTTCCATGGGTTGATTGTTCTCGCTGTCAGAAAGTTTCTCCTTAATTCCAGGTTGAATCTCTCCTTGATCAGTTTCCATTCAATATTCCTTGTCTGGCTTTCGGGTGCCTTGAAAACTAGCTTGACCCCCTTCCTCTCTGTGGCAGCCCCTCGAATATTGGAAGACCACTATCCTGTCTTCCCTGGTTCTTCTCTTCACTAGACTAGCCAGGCCCAGTTCCTGCAACCGTTCTTTGTATGTTTTAGCCTCCAGTCCCCTCATCATCCTGGTTGCTCTTCTCTGCACTCTTTCCAGAGTCTCAACATCTTTTGTTTATAGTCTCTATCTCTATATCTCTATCTCTATATCTCTGTCTATGTTCATCTCTCTCTCTCTCTCATCTCTCTCCTCTCTCTCCTCTCTCTGTTATCTATCTAATCCATCTCTCTTCTCTCTCTCTCTCTCTCTCTCTCTCATCTATCTATCTGATCTCTCCTCTCTCTTTCTTATCTATCTCCCCTCTCCCCCTCTCTCTTATCTATCTAATCTCTCTCTCTTCTCTTTCTTTCTCTCTCATCTATCTATCTCCTCTCTCCTCTCTCTCTTTCTTATCTATCTCCTCTCTCTCTCTTATCTATCTAATCTCTCTCTTCTCTCTCTCATCTATCTATCTCATCTCTCCTCTCTCTCTTTCTTATCTATCTCACCTCTCCTCTCTCTCTCTTTCTTATCTATCTCCCCCCTCTCTCTTTCTTAGCTATCTAAACTCTCTTCTCCCCCCCTCTCATCTATCTAACCTCTCTCTCTCTCTCTCTTATGTGAACACTAATAAAACGTACATCCAGTATGAACTACAAAACCTAACCTACATAAATAATAAAACTAATGTGATTAAAATTAAGGGAACCCCCCTCCCCTGCCAACCCTGGATAAAATTCCAGGCAAGCAATAAATTAGCTGGGAGGATCAAAAAGACATTGGAATAAAAACCCTTGACCTTAACTTGGATTTGGGGTTGTGCACAAGAATGGACATTTCTTTCATTTGTTGGTTGTTGGGTTCAGCCACTAGAGTTTTCTGCTGGATGAGAACAGACGTCCTCCATTAATGTTGATTTCTTGTCTTGTTTCAGACAATGGCCCAGCAGCTCTTGATGGTCTTCAGCAGTTACTACGTCAGGCTGTTAGTCAGTGGCCAGCTTCCAGAGGTCCATGCGGGGCAGCACAAAACTATGGGCCACAGGCCTTGTCTCTGCCAGTTTGTAAAGACTACACTGTTGGGGAAAGAATTCTTTGGACTCCAACAAAGATGGACATTATGTTAGCAATGTCTCAATCATCAGGTTCTCAATCGTCAAAGACTGAAGAACCAGAAGACTGAGGGAATGAAGAACAGTTTGCATTGTTCTCCCTACAAAAGAACCATACCTAAAAAATTTTTTTTTTTGGAAATGTCTGCGACTTGTTCTGAGGAGAGGTCATATGCAATGTTGGTTGGCCAGAGTTGTGAGAATGAAGTAGCTGCCGTATCAATGCTGGAAAGAAAAGAAGGAAGGAAGGAAAGAAAGAAAGAGGGAAAAGTAGAAAAAGAAAGAAAGAAGGATGGAAAAAAAGGAGGAATGAAGGGAAAGAAAGAAAGAGAGAGAGCAAGTAGAAAGAGAAAGAAGGAAGGAAGGGAAACAAAGAAAGAAAGAGGGAGAAAATGAAAGAAAGAAAAAGTAGAAAAAGAAAGAAAGACAGAAGGAAGGAAAAGAAAGGAGGAATGAAGGGAAAGCAAGAAAGAGAAAGAAAAAGAAGGAAAGAAAGAAGGAAAGAAAAAGTAGAAAAAGAAAGAAAGACAGAAGGAAGGAAAAGAAAGGAGGAATGAAGGGAAAGAAAGAAAAAGAGAAAGAAGGAAAGAAAGGAAGGAGGGAAAGAAAAAGTAGAAAAAGAAAGAAGGAAAAGAAAGGGATGAAGGGGAAGAAAGAAAGAAAGAGCAAGTAGAAAGAAAGAAGAAAGGAAGGGAAACAAAGAAAGAGGGAGAAAAGGAAAGAAAAGAAAGAAGGAAGGAAGGAAGGAAGGAGGAATGAAGGGAAAGAAAGAAGAAAAAAGTAGGAAAAAAAGAAAGAAGGGAAGGAAAGAAAAAAAGTAAGAATTCCCTAGGAATTAAAAAACAGCTTTTCCAGTTGCATTCTGGAAACTCAAACCACAATGTTATGAACTGAAATTACAGAGACGTTTAGAAGTCTGTCCCAGAGCTGGAATTTCTGAGATCAACTCTCCTTATCTAAAAGACACGTGGAGTGATTCATGGCCAGTGAATTTCTTGGAAAGAGAAGATTCCTCGATTGTATTCCCACTTGGCTGCCCTAAATGTGCAAAGCCATCCGGTCTCACTGTTGCCCCGTAGCCCACACCGTGATGATAAAGAGTCATGCAAATTCTGTGGGATTTACTCCTTTCTATATAAGGCAATTTCTCAATTTTTCCCCATTTAGTGGCCATTCAAAAATGACAATGGCACTGGGGGAAAAAGGGGGACTTAAGGCTGGTTTTCACCCTTATGACTGTTGCAGCATCTCCACGGTCAAAATTCAGATGCTTGGCAACTGGCTTGTATTTATGACAGTTGTACTGCTCGGGGATCATGGGGCTGCCCTGTGTAACTTCCAAGCTGGCTTTCGACAAGCGAAGTCAATGAGGGAAAGCAGATTCACGTATGAACAATTAACATCCGATTCACTTAACAACTGCAGTGATGGGCTTAACAACAGTGAAAAGTCACAAAACGGGACAACGCTCGCTTAGCCATGGAAATGTATGGCTCGTTTGTGGCCTTACATCAAGGATAAAGAAAGGAAGGGAGGGTGGGAGGGAGGGAAGGAAGGAAGGAAGAAGGGAGAGAGGAAGGAAAGAAAGGAGAAAGAGGAAAATAGAGAAAGAAAAAAAAGAAAGAGAAAGAAGGGAACAAAGGAAAGAATGAAGGAAGGAGACAAAAGAAGGAAAGAAGGAAGGAAGAGGAAGAAGGAAGAGGAAAGAATGAAGAAAGAAAGGAGAGAGGAAGGAAGAGAGAAAGAAAATATAAAAATAAATATATAGAAAGAAAGAAAGAAAGAAAGAAAGAAAGAAAGAAAGAAAGAAAGAAAGAAAAAGAAAGAGGGAGGGAGGGAAGGAAGGAAGAAAGGAGAGAGGAAGGAAAGAAAGGAGAAAGGAAACAAGAGAAAGAAAGAAAAAAAGAAAGTTACAAAGAAAGGGACAAAAGAGTGAGAGCGGAAGGAAGGAAAGAAGAAAGGAAGAGAGAGACAGAAAATATATACATACATAAAGAAAGAAAGAAAAAGAAACAGAGAGAGAGAAAGAAAGAAAGAGAAAGGAAGGAAGAAAGAAAAAAAGGAAGGAAAGAAAGAGATCCTACAGGGCTCCTTAGTGCGTTTACTGCAAGAGACTGACACAGCGAAATGATCACATTTTATTTCCGGCAAATTGGGAATAGTCTATCAAGAGGGGCAAAACTATTTTATCGGTGCTTCACTTTACACACACACACACACACACACACACACACACACACCCTCTTTTACGTAGCTGCCACCCTCTCTGGTTGAAGAAATACAAACCGAGTCAAGCAACTGCATTTTATTCCGCAAATTATATATTTCCTTGCAATATAATTTCAAGATGTGGTCATTTCAGAGGTTGGCTCTACTGGTACCGGAGACACAGGAGAATCGAACACGTTCACCTCCACCCCGAGGGGAGTTTCTGAACCTGTCTTCATGAGTTGTCTGCGACAGCCAAGTAGAAAGAAGGATGGAAGCGTTTCGGTTAGACGAGGACCAGACCGCGTTCCAGAGGAGATCTGTGAACGGCGAATGGCCCTTTATCTGCCTCATGTCCCCCTAGGCTGGCTCACAATGGAACTGCTGCATTTGGGGATCTCTGCCTTCCGACGTTTTTGTCATCCGCCTGCAGGGTAACCTATATAGGTCAAGAAAGAAAAGTACAATTTTAGGAAGGACCAGAGATAGTTTTTTAGAAGTTGGAAAAGCTAGAACGGAGGAGAAATTTCCCGCCAGGGAGAACAATTAACCATTGGAATGGCTTGCCTCCAGGAACTGTGGTTGCTCCATCGCCGGAGGTTTTTAAGAAAAGATCGCACAACCGTTTGTCTGAAATGGTGTAGGGATTCCTGCTTGAATGGGGTTGGACTAGAAGACCTTCAAGGTCCCTTCCAACTCTGTTATTCTGTCATTCTGCACTTTGATATTCTGTATTTTATGTTATGTATTCTGTTATTCTGTATTTTGTTATTCTGTCATCTGTACTTTGTCATTCTGTATTACGTTATTCTGTATTCTGTTATTCTGTATTTTGTTATTCTGAAATTCTGCACTCTGTTATTCTGTTTTTCTTTCATTCTGTTAGATGTTGAGTAGCTGGAGGGAAATGTCATTAAAATAACAAAACATTTGTGCTATTTTGGGTCCAGGGAGCTTCCAGTTTCTACTTCTTTGTCTCTTAATCCCTCCTTCAATTTTCATTATCGTCTTCCCTCTATACTGTAGTATCTTCCTCCTCCTCTTCCTCCACCCTGAGGTCCCTTCCAGTTTTAGGATTCTGTATTTTAGGTGGTTTTTCATTTGTCTTTCAAAAAGTGCCCACAACCCTTTGCAATTATCAGCCTTTTCGCAACGCGTGGAAACATTTGGCACTTTGTTCCTCTCGGTTCGGTTTAATGAATTGTGTTTTGACATTTTCCTTGCTGCTTCTGCAAAAAATGGATTTGATGGGGATAATTGATAATTTGATGGGGAAGGAGATGGGGTGAGAAAGGGAGGGAGGGATGGAGGGAAGGAGAGAGGAAGGAAGGGAGAGAAGGAGAGAGGGAGGGAGGGAGGAAGGAGATGGGATGAGAAAGGGAGGGAGGGATGGAGGGAAGGAAGGAAGGAGGGAGGGAAGGAAGGATGGAGGGAAGGAGAGAGGAAGGAAGGAGGGAGAGAAGGAGAGAGGAAGGAAGGAGATGGGGTGAGAAAGGGATGGAGGGAAGGAAGGAGGGAGAGAAGGAGAGAGGGAGGGAGGATGGAAGGAGATGGGATGATAAAGGCAGGCAGGCAGGGAAGGAAGGAAGTAAGTAGTTTTTAAATGAAATTGGAGGGCTCATTTGGCCCAGCCTTGACCGTCTATCATTTTATTCTCACCCCCAGCAGAGATTTCCCACGTTCTCTTACCTTTTCCTTCTGCAGAAGAGTCTAAATTCTCCCTATCGTTGTTGCAGCAGAAGCAACAGCAGGAGGTTCTGACTTTTTCTGCCACATACCTGCAGGCTAGAAGCCAGAAAGAGAGAGAGAGAGAGAGAAAGTGAGGAGAAATACATAGCAACCCCCAGATTCATCTCACCTGAACAAACCCAGATGTAAAGGTTTTGTTGGTCAGGATAGGTCAGGCCTACCATATCTAGAACTTTCTGCTAGTGGTAGAAGGAGTAAATTCTACAACTAAATTGATCTATCTGGATGGGTGGGAGCGGGAGCAGTGAGTTTAACTAATGGATCATTTCTCCATGTTGCAAAAAAAAATAAAAAATGGAAATATTTTTTTGATCAAATCCAGGTAGTCCTCCACTTTGGAACACAACCGAGACCCAAATTTCCTTTGCCAAAAGCGAGACCTTGTTTTGCCTCACTTAATGACCTTTCTTGCCACGGTTCTTAAGCGAATCACTGGAGCGGTTAAATTAATAACATGGTTTTTAAGTGAATCTGGCTTCCCCATTGACTTTGTTCATTGGGGGGGGGTGTCGCAAAAAAGGGGTATCGTATGACCAGGGACAGTGCAACTGTCATAAGTATGAATCGGTGGCCAAGCATCTGAATTTTGACCACGTGGCCATGGGGAGGCTGCAACGGGCATCAGTGTGGCAAGATGGTCCTAAGTCCCTTTTTTCAGTGTCGTCGTAACTTTGAACAGTCGCTAAATGAACTATAAGTGAGGACTTCCTGTGCTTTGATCTAATCTGGGAAAGTCCAGTTGCCTCTTGGAAAAAAAAAAAGCACCTTTGGGTTTTCCTGCAGATGTTTTGTTACCAAAATGCACTCTCACCGAACCGGTAGTAACACCGCTTGAATACCACCCCTGGTGTAAATACGTCTGTGTGTATGTGTGTGAGAGAGGAGAGTAGGGATGAGGTGGGGTGGAAGGACAACCTAATCCGAGGTTTGGAACAACCCATCAACTCCCACCTGCTGCTCTGTAGCGGAAACTTAATTTGTACATATACATATGAGAGCCATATTCCACGCTGCCACATAGCCTGAGAAAGCGGGAGGGTGGTGATTTCAATGGAGTAGTTC